TGTACTAGAACATGCTCTCATGCTTGGTGGTTCGAAAAACGCATTATTTTTCACATAATTTACATTATTAAAATACCTTTCTCCCCATCCTAACAAATGCTGTAGTCCAAACGAGCCGTTCGTTGTAGTTCTTGAAAAGGGATTTTTAAAAAACGAAATATCTCCCTTTGGAGTGGACTTTGAGATTTGTAACTTTCTAGATCTTTTTTATGCCCAAACATACACACTACACACTGACTAAAATTAAAAAAGTGAAAAAGCATAATAGGACCCCTTTAACAAGACTCAAATTGACACAGGCAGAGTGAATGACTGGATTTTTTCGACCAGGTAGGGTAAGTGATTTCAAAACATTTCAGCCGGTTTATATCGCGTATATATTATTTATCTCGTATAAGATGCATTTGGTTGAGTTACGCTGCAGTAAAGCGCTTCATTGTACGGTGATTAGCTTTTCTGTGCGCAGCGCGAGCAGGACAAACAACAATGCAGAATATTAATAACTATGATTGGGACTGTCATATACATAACATAATGAAAACACTATTATAATAAAACGCTGTGGATTTTTAGAGTTCAGTTGCCGTGTTTCTGCACGTTGTTGCGTGAAGAACGCGTCCACAAAAGGAGTTCATTCAGAGCCACTATAAGTCGTAATATTAATGTCATGTTGTATAAATAACGGAGCGTATTCTATATGAGATAAATGATGAGTTATATCCCATTGATTAAAAACCTGCTATCAAATGCTTAATTCTACTGGTCATCTTCAGTGCGTGCAGCTCAAAACAGAAATGCAGAACATTAATAACTGTCATATAGGCTGCATAACGTTATAATGAGAGCACTATTGTAGAAAAAAATTTGTGAATTCTTAGGGTTTCGCTGACGTTTAATGTTAACTATCTTTTAATTAAAACATAAAACATTATTTTTGTAGGCTATCTGCGAGGCATCCGTTACACATTTTCCCTGTGTGTTAAGGTCAGTAACTATGACTGTCGAATGTCTGACTTGACTCTTGGTAATTTATTTTGCCTCCGCCCCCAAACATATGATTCGACTATCAGTCGACTATCGGCAAGATTCAAAAATTCCGATTCAACTATGTAAATCCTTAGTCGGGGACACCCCTACTTTCAACATACCTTCTGATATTCATTCATGTGAACTGTGTGCCGTAACTAGTAGTAAAGAGAAAGAGTCACCCTCAAGAGACTCTTGAACTGAGGTGGCTACAATGACCTGCCAAGCCATATTAAAGTGCGCCAAAACCATAGCTAAAATGCCCTGCAAAGCCATATTAAAGTGCGCCAAAACCATATTTATTTGAATTTCATACATTGAATTTCGTGCTGGGCAAGGATTAATCACGATTAATAACATCCAAATTTTTGTGTATATAATGTGTGCTGTGTATATTTATTATGTATATATAAATACACACACATACAGTATATATTTAGAAAATATTTATATGTATATATTTTAGTGCTGTCAAACGATTAATCGCATCCAAAATAAATGTTTTCGTGTACATAATATATGTGTGTGTACTGTGTATATTTATTATAAATACACACACATGCATGTATATTTAAGAAAAATAAGTTATGTTTATATATTAAAGGGTTAGTTCACCCAAAAATGAAAATTAGCCTGTGTTTTACTCACCCTCGAGGCATCCAAGTTATATATGACTTTCTTCTTTCAGACTAATCATATCAGAGTTATATTAAAAATTGTCCTGGCTATTCCAAGCGTTATCATTGCAGTCAGCGGGTGTTATAAAATAAAGCGTCAAATAAAGCGAGCGCATCCATAATAAAACGTGACTCACATGGCATGAATAAAGACCTCCTGTAGCGGACCCATGCGTTTTCGTAAGAAAAGTACCCATATTTCAAACATAATAAACAGTTTTCTCTCACTTCCGGTATCTGCCGTACGCGGAAGCTGTTCCGGGCGGATGACGTAGGACGTATGCGTCGCATACATGCCTTTGAGATATGCTAGTCTCGTGAGTTTGTTTACAGGAGCAAAGGAAGCAAAGTTTCCTTACGTTAGCAAAGGAAAACCAGTCTCCTCTTGGCTTATATCGAAATGCTTCAACATTTTTCTTTACAAATCCTCGGTTTGTACTTCTAATACATGACCTGCGTTTTGATTTGTTCTCTCTCGGCGTTCATCACTAATTACGCAACAGTAATTAAAAAAATTATAATAATCACGCAACACCGACGTCCTACAGTTTTCTTCATTTTTGGGTGAACTAACCCTTTAAATATGTTTATATGTTATATAAATATATTAGCGCTGTCAAACAATTAATCACGATTAATCGCATCCAAAATAAACGTTTTTGTT